CTGACTATGAATTGGAGTGGTAGCGTAACTAGATAAAACTGTGGCAGCTCTATGCCAAGGATCTTTACTAAAAGGTTCACAGTTAAACAACAACTTAAAGTGTAAACTATACTTAATGTCCAAAAGTAATTAGACACCACTTCTTTAAGTAGGTGCACCCTTTGCTGACACCAGTATTTAATTGCACATAAACAGGTTATATATTCTCTACGCATAAGCATTGCCAGTAGAATGGGGTGCTCTGTAGCAGCTGCACATAAGCCTAAGATCACTATGTCCAATGTCAAGTGTTGAGTAAAAGGGTATAAAGCCCCCCATCAGAAAGCTCTGGGCTGTAAAGCAGTGGAATTAATGTCTATGGAGTTATGGACATCCATCCAATACCTTTGGGATGAGTTGGAGTGGCATTTGTGATCCAGAGCCTGACCTCATGAATGCTCTTGTGTTTGCCATCAAATCCTCACAGCAATGTTGCAACATCTAGTGTAAAGCCTTCCCAAAAGAGTAGAGGCTGTTACTGCAGCAAAGGGCAGCAAACTGCCTATTAATACCTTTGATTTAAGAAGAAACATTGGATGAGCAGGTGTCTACAAACTTTTGGACATATAGTGTATATGTGGATGTCTGTTGCAAGCACCAAGTAAAATATGTAATGATTTTGTAAGCTTCAAATGTTTGTATTTAAAGGCAAAAAAAAAAAAAATCATTTGTAACAGCTTTGCACTAACATAATATTAGAAACTCCCAAGGGGCACTAGCAGAAATTAACCCCTTAAATGGAGTTTTATAATGGAAAAATGTAATAAAATGCTTTATTACTAAAGATTTTGGTCCCACTTTACATTAAGTGCCTCTAATAACTGTATAGTTACACATGAATAACATATGCAACAACACTGTAACTACTGATGATTTAGTCAATGTTACAGATGGATTACAGAAGTACAGCCTATGTGATTACACATGCGTATCAACTTCAGTTTTGCCTCATGTAATTACACAAGTGTATCTTCTACACAAGAACTTTCCTGTGGTGTAGTGTTAAAGTTACACTTTAAAATAAGTGGACAGTTTCTGTGTAGTTGTTATGTAGGTACTATGTAATAATGGAGTGGTAAAATAGACATTGCTTTTGGGGAAATGCAACACATTTAATTAATGTTATAAAAGTTACATGTTAAGATAAGGGGACATTTGCTGCACTGCTAAACGCTACATGCTAGCTAAATGGAGGAAAGCTGGCAGATACAGGGTAAGTAATGTCTTAATGTAAGTTATTACATAATTCCTTTGACTGCTGGAAATAAAGACTGCTGAAAAAAACTGCAGTTCCAGTCTGATTACAACTGTAATTACATATTATGTTATCACCCTTGTGCAATTACATGAACGGGAATTGGCTGTTACAACTACTAAGATATGCTTGTGTAATTACATGAGGCAAAACTGAAGTTGAAACGTGTAATTACATAAGGTGTACTTCTATAATCCATCTGTAACTGTGACTAAATCATTAGGAGTTACATTGTTGTTGCGTATGTTGTTCACATGTTACTACACAGTTATTAGAGACACAATATAAAGTGGGACCAAGATTTTTTATCTAAGAATAGCTCAAACAGTTTGCATTGAAGTCCCTGTAGTTACTGAATAATACGCCTTAGTATGTAACAAGCCTGAGATTTTAAGTTAACATTATCATAGAGGTGAGATTTGACATTTATGACCTAAAATGAAGGCCATCAATTAAAGTTCATTCACTATTAAAGGTACAGCAACCCAAAAAAGTTTCCAAGACCCCTCTGTGCATAATTGGTTGTCATACACTTTTGCCTTTATTTGAAGATCCAGTGTACAGTCTAAGACAGATGTTTAGAAGCAAAGCATCAATTGACAAACACAAAGAGCGACATATGATCCGAGATATGCGCAAATTGCCTTGTTGTTTTCCTGTGTCAAGCTTCTAAGTTCAGACTGTTCAGACATCTATCGTGCACCTGTCTTGGAACACCTACAGACGTGTAACCGGATAACAAAGAAAGACTGATCCTTGTTTGCATAAGCTATGAGGAATGCAGTACAATAATTAATCTGAATACATGATGAAACTGAATACAATAAACAAGATCTGTTCTGCATTAGATTGCACCCCCGAATTTCTGTTTGCCAGGTGTAGTACATTACACAGTTTACTGGGAAAGGGAAGTCACTTTAGTTAAAGGGAAAAAAAAATTAACCCCATTTATAAGGCATTTAATAATCATCTATAAATTATAAGATTTTCAAATACTTATGAAAAAGTCCCAACACATTTCATGTAAACTCGAATATGTTACAATTAGCATTTATGAATGGTTATGGATTATGTATGAACGAATCGGTACCATTTTACTGAAGGGTAGCATTTATAAGGCTACATGACACCTGCTTAAGCCTTTCATGATTCACATAAACCTATCTAGACATTAATAAAGTCTTATTCCAACAAGCGTCAGTGGTCATAAGACTTACTGAGGTGAAATGACATTAAAATTGACAAAAGCAGCCTTTGTGACAACTGACTGTATAAATGTTTATGTATGTTTATGTCAGCTGTCATAAAAGGCTTATGTCATGTAGCCTTAAGAATGCTGATCTTCAGTAAAGTGTTACCAATTAATGTATTCCAAGGACTATTAAAGTCTCTTCAAGTGTTGCAATAAAGGGAAATGCTCTCTACTGCACGCTCTTAACTGGAAACAATAACTAACTCTCTCAGAGGTAGGTCGAGATGGCATTGAGCTTGTCAAGCTTTTGTAATGTTAGCTTTGCAACAGTAGTATCATCTTAGTTACATTCTGCCGCAGCACAGTTATTGAACAAGTGAAGGTAGGAATCAGATCTGAAAATCAAAGAAACGTAACAAATACAGCAATACGTCATTCAAAACAGTACTTGAAACCATTTCAATAAAAGAACAGAGAAAAAAAAAATAATGCAGTAAACCAAATTCCTATCTTTTCTAGCTAAAGTCATACAATAGTGGGCTAACTGTCACATATAAAGTTGATGATGACCTACGGCATCTGACCAGTGTTGGTAGCTTCAGAAAAATGATATATAGTGTCCAAAATGGATGTAGCTATTCACATGGTACAAGTTTAGCTCAATGGTACAGACACAAAAGTTAAGTAAACTAAAACAGGTTGGGCTAACAATCCAGAATATTCACTGAAATATAATAAAAAAGCTGCCAATTATCCGACGCTTACAAGCTTTTGTCATTCATCAACTGCGTATTACATGACTTTTGATTTTTTAATGGCAAAAGCAACCATTAGCTGTAATTCTGCTAATCAAGAAAATAATAACACCAAATGGAAACAGTTGAAGTGGTAGGAAAAAACAAACCTTTGAGCAAAGCATCTAAGGCAAAAGAGCGCTGTTGCCAGCACTCGAAAATAAGGCTTTCAGTCGAGTCGTCTAACTCCCTACGGCATGTTCAGACCTAGAATATGTTCAAGCCTCCCTCAGTCAAGCTAAACTGATTTTCCTGAACAAACTGGCTAAGATAGCAAGTGATTCATGCGCCTAAAAATTCTCAGACATCCCTTTTGACCACATTTCATTATTTCACCTTCTCAGAGTCTTTAAAGTGGAGAGAAATAAGGAGTTACAACACAATGATTGTTTCCAGTTGTCGGGTCTCTTTGTCCTCCTCTCCAGACAGTGCAGACGAATGCCTGGGGGAATTCTCCTGATTTGAAGTGGTGAATTACAGTGCCATTTCAGGGCTCAATCATTTACATTTAAGCACCAGTCTCTATTAAATCGTATTATTGCTGTTTCTTGCCAACTCTGACCATTCTGAGACAAAAGAATGGTGCAAATAAGCCAGTGTTTTAGAATGACTAGAAGCTGTCCAAAGTCCTAAGGATATATATATATATATATAATATATATATATATATATATATATAATATATATATATACACTTCTTTAGTAAAGAAAATGAACACTGAAAGAACCTTTTGTGTGATTAAAGGGTTCTTAGCATCGTTAAAGTAAAGGGTTTCTCAGATTCTCAGATGAAGAGTGTGTTTATATGATTTAAAACCTTTATGAAAATACCTATATAACACCAAACATTGACATTGACAACAGAAGAACTCTTTTTGGTGCTATATAGACCACTTTTCAAAAAGGTTCTCTACAGAACCATCTACAGCACATTCTCCATCAATTTGAAGAACTCTTTACTGATGCAAAGGACGCTTTAATCACACAGAGGGTTCTTTCAGTGTTCATGGTTCTATATAGAACCATTTTCTTAACTAAAGAACCCTTGAAGAACCATCATTTGTAAGAGAGTATCTGTACATACATATATACTGTACTGTGCAAAACCATTTATCTTGGCAATAAATGCGAAATATGAAATACATATTATTTATATTTTGTATTGTTTTTGATATAAGATTTTTTTTGAGTGAATAAATGCTTAGTGACCAGATGATTAGCTTTTTAATCGTAATTTTCTCCGTTGCCAAAAACTTTTGCACAGTACTGTATATTTTCCCGCCAGTTGAATTACATGTTTTGTATTTGTAATACATTTTCATACATACTTACTGTGACACAGTTCATATGTTTGTTTTTTTTTTTTCCGAATGTTTTAAACTTAACAAATAAATAGAACTGTGCAGAGAATTTGCAAAAAATGCCTTATTTAAGCATATTTTCTGTACAGGATGTACATAGAATAACATCGACAAAACATGTAATTTGACCTGTGGCACCCAAATATTTGCATACGGCTGTGTATGAATCTATTTATGTATGTGTGTGTGTGTGTGTGTGTGTGTGTGTGTGTGTGTGTGTGTGTGGTGCTTTGAATTTACAAGACTCACTTGTGTCAAACAGTTAATACATGAATAAAAGATTCAACATCAACACAATTACTGTCTTTCAGACACAAATCTATTGGCAACAATTGAGTCGATGCAACCAGTGTTGGGGGTAATGAAGCACAAAGTAACAAGTTATAGCGATGTAATTATGTTTTCCCTGTAATGAAATAGTGTAACACAGTACAGTTTAAGTCCTGTGATCACGTTACAGTTACCGACTTAATAAGAAGTAAATTACTTGTGTTACTCACATCTCTAACAGAGCAGCATTAATGATGCAGAATGCTTTTGAAACGTAAATTTCCTCTATGTAGATTATCTGTGCCTGCCGTTGCACATAATTTGTGCTTGTGTGCTGCCCATGACAGATGACTGTGTGACTTTGATAGTGAATGTGAGCAACACAGCACGAGCGCGGGAAGTGACATTAACTTGGTGAACAATCTGTTAAAGCATCTAATGCTGTTAATAGGAAGCTGGTAGAAAAAAAATCCCTGTGCTGAAGAAAAGAGTGAGTAAACGTCCAAACAGACCAAGCCTGACTAAAATTCATTTTCCTTTCTATTTTCTACTGGTCCAAATTTCAAGAACAGAACAGAAGTAAAATAATGAAACTATTTTTCCCGGACGTAATCATTAAAGGAATCCCATTACAGTTAAGGGGAAGCCATTAGTCATTTGTAATGGATTGTATTTATCATTGGTTACTTTTATAGAGTAACCACACCAACACTGGATGTAACACATGTGGAACTGACACATTTGAATCATGTAAATTCAGTGCATCACTTGTTTGCCGTCTACATATTGTACCTGCTGAAAAGGGTAAGGCAAGAAAAATAGCCCCACTGTGTTCTTGTGAATGGGGTTTCTCTGTATGCCTGAGTGCATGCTCTCACATGCTGAGCCCAAGCTTGCAATTGGCTTATGGGACCAGAACAACACATAAACAACAATGTGGGCAAAAACAACAAAACTTGAACAACTTGTATTCCATTCACATTTCAATGGAACAGCGCATGGCAGGACATGAGCTTCTGCCTCACTGAGTCTGCCCGAGCAGCTGATCAGGACCTGCAAAGACAAACACAAACAAAAACAATGCCTGGAGTTAGAAGCGTGTAATGAATCACTAATGAATCATAGAGCCACTTAACAAAGGCAAAACGCCCACTGAGTGATTTAAATTATATAAAAAGCTTTTTCTTTGGTGGATTCCACATTGGAACAGCTTGTGGAAAAGTCGTAGTGATCAAGAGTGATATATTGTAACATTTTGTTGAAAGTTCAGATTCTAAAATTTCAATGAATACCATAATTGTGTTTATTAGTAGAAAGATATATATATATATATATATATATATATATATATATATATAATATATATATATATATAAAGGGCATTTTCAAATTATGTAAAAAACTGACAAACAACAAATACGGAGATATGAGGTATATATATTTGTGGCATGTCTGTCATATTTTAACATCAGCAATTACGAAGTACTGTCATATGCAATGGTTTGAACACCTCAGGTTAACATCCTTTACAGCAAACAGGATGAAATATATGTAGTCAAGTTAACATTTATTTATACAGTGCTTTTTACAACAGGTGTTGTCACAAAGCAGCTTTACAGAAACATCTGGGTACAAGCCCCCATGAGCAAGCCAATGGCAACAGTGGCAAGAAAAAGGAAGAAAGAAGAAACCTTGCCATTAGAGACCTATCAGAGTAACAATGAGAAACAGAGCTGTGAGAATCAGTCACTTTTACCAGTGACGTGAAATGAAGTATACACATAAAATATATATAAAATACATACACACACTCGAAATGCGCCATAACTTTAGCACAGGCCACATTGCATTGAATGTGACCATTTTTTCTAAATCAGAACATCAATATATGTATATATATTGTCAACTGTATAAAATGAAATTACTTTTAAATGTTAGAGCAAAATGACAGTAGTAACTCTTGACTTACTTAGCCTTAGACTTAAAAGCATGAATAGGATTTACTCACTGGGAAATCTTGCAGTTTGTTGTCGTGACGAAGCGGCCTGTGTAGTGAATGTTACACCTGACAATGTTGTTGGTGAAATCTGACTCAAGCACCAAGTATTTGGGGTTAACCTGGAGCTGGAGTTCAGAAGAGAAAGAGAAAAACATCTTACTGCCCATAGCATTGATTAATATTTTTTGGCAATAGGGTCAGATTCAATCATCTGGATTTACAAAGCTCTCAAAGGCAGCCAATCCTGGCATCTTCTTCCAAAGAGTCAGAAATAACAAGCCACTTTTTCCCTATTAGACATTAGGCATGCCTGTATTTGCCTCGTTTATTAGCACAGACAGCACCATAAGAAACAGGAGCATACCAAACACATTGCAGCAGCATCATTCATATTACATTGTTGGAAGACTGTCCTACAGCGGCTGCTGTTGTCTTTGGTATAAAGTGAAGAGCCCCTTCAGCCAAATATCCAGCAAGCTCTAGCACGTTCTCTTCATCTGTCTTGCAGGATATTCTTTTCACATATAGAGTAATGAGATACACACCTCTTTATGACTGTTATCACTAATGACATTCGGTGCTGTTGCCCGTAGCATTAGTGTTGTTTGAGAAATACTTGCTGTTGGAAATCAGTTATACAAATGGCTATGGGCATACAAAATAACCCAGGTCCTGTAAGTACAGTCATGCAAAATTTTGGGTGCCCTGGTCAAATAATATGTTTTCATTGATTTTCTAACTGAAGATAAGTTAACATTTCCTATACATAAAACACATTTTAATGCATGATTACTGTATATTTGCTGAATGTAACATATTTGCCTGTGCAAAAGTTACAGCACAGTTTATATTTTATGTTTTATTTTTTCCAATATGTTAAACTCAAAGCAAAAAAAAAGTGTTATATTTAAGCTTGTTCCATGTAGAAGATGTGTCAACTTATTTTCACTTAGAAAATCAGCAAAACATGTCTTTTGACTGGAGGTGTACAAACATTTGCATATCATATATTGCATATAATTGCATATCACAGTGGCCAAACCTTTGGTCCAAGATGCTGCAATATTCAAGTTTCTGATTATAGTTTTTTACTGACTTGCCTTGAACTCCACAATTTCTGCAGTCAGACTTTTCTTGCTCTCGATACACGAATATAAGACTTGAGCCTCTCAATACAGAATATAAACTATCAACTATAAAAGTGTAAATGCATTTTGTTACATAACTGTGTAATTAATTATCTACATAAATTTATATAAGCAGTACAGCACAATGAAAGTAATAGCTCTAGAATTCAAAGCATTAACTCTATCGACCTAAGTGACTCTCTAGTGACTTTATAGTCTACTTTAATATGACTGAACCAAATGATCTGAAAAGATCAAGCACTATGTACTGGAAGCAGTTAAAAACTAGTTAAGTTTAGGCCTTGAAGAGGAGTCAAATTTTTTGGGTCTCCATCTTGACTCTATTTTGCACTCATCTGGACTCTTAAAGGGGAATTCCACCAATTTTCCAATATGTCTGTCAGCAGTTTGATGCAAAATACACCATTCTGGAGAAACTTATTGAGTGAGAATCCTTCACAGTGTTGGTGATAACAACCAGATGTCTGCAGAGTTTAATGCCTCTAAAAGCTTCTTCACAGAAAGTTATTACAAGCTGCCCGATTCCTGAGACATTGTTTTACAATAGTTTTGAGATAAAGCATTATTGGAAAAACATATATATTTTCAGCAACACATATAAAACTCAGAAAACGTGTTTACAGATGCTTTTGGATAGTAAATAAATGGCTATATGTTTGTTGTAGACATTACTTACTAGTTAATATAATAATTACTGGTTCTTATCACCACTATTGTATAGAATTAAGCATTTCACATCAAACCACTCTGAAATAATAATAAAAAAATAGTGTAATTCCCCTTTAACTTGGTCTGGGGCCTTTCAGACTATATCTTGGCAAAATCTTGATCAGTCATGGTGTCAGACTTGTCTTGGACAAAAGTGGTCTAAACAGCAGCCCTATCTTGGACCAATATCTGCAGCATAAAAGGTCAGTTTTCAATATGATCCAAGAAATGGATTAAAAACACTAGTGGAACATGATTATTACCTTCAGTATGTAGTTTCCTGGCTTGATATCCGTGATGTCAATCCATTGGCAGTCAATGTCTGCATTGTATGTATCATAGCAACCTGGACTGAGACCCTGGAGGAGCAAAAAAATATTATTTTGAAAAGAAAAGCTAATTTTTGTAACTTTACAAAAACTTTTTCATTCTGCAAAACTTACATGCCATGCATGGTACAATAAATGGTGTGACTACTCTCCTTTCAAATGCACAGCGCTTGGTGTTATTTTAATTCTGGTGAATTTGCTTTGGGTTGTCGGCTAATCTGTGTATGAAAAGGCTGTGCATTGAAATGAGGCGCTGTACCTGTGTGTGAGCGGTGCAGGCATAGCGTTTAAGGTGGCCAAAGTCACACGTGGTGTCCTCCAGACAGAAGCTGGCCTTGTGTCCCTCAGCTACTTTTCTGCCTGTGCTGACCTCCAGCAGGTCATAGTGACTGAATTCATCCATGCTGTGGTAATGTCTGTAAGAGAGAGAGAGGAGAGAGAGAAAGAAGGCTATGATATAACATCTAGACTGAATGACCTTGGTATTCCTTGGTGAAATTTGCATGGACTGGTCCACTCATTCAGCCAGCATAATCTAATAAAACCAACAATGCAAGAAATTCTCTTCCATTTGCACTCGTTCATTTTACTTGTCAGTTCAGAACAACTTGAGAACACTGTGTTTGTTGATAATGTCAGGTTAGTGTGCCAGGGGGCCAATTCAATCAGTCACAGACAAAATAGTGCTGTCGAACAAGCAGTGACTGGCACTAAAAACAACAATTTAGACTCGCCTAACACCTTTTACTGCGCACTCTCAAAACTGTTTTGCTAGTAAAGTAATGTTTGTAAGTCTTGGGAATTTAAAATAAGCCAAAAGAATGCAACACATCCTGATACAGTACTGTGCAAAAGTCAGAGACCACTCTTTATTTATTTAATATCCAATTAAAAGGGCCATTAAATGCAAGTTATCGATTTTTCAGGAGATATTTCTGAGATGTAAGATGTGAGATGTAAGACAATCCACTTACAATCCAGACTATAGGATAAGCAGTATTAAATGCTTTCATCTCTGAGAGATAGGAGGGTATCTAGCTCCACTCTTGCTTCAGATCTATTTCTGTTTTCAGTGGAAATTTAATGAAGGGTGGTCTCTGACTTGCACAGTACTCTACAAATCCTTGACTTCAGCAGTAGAAATATCCAATATCTATAGAGTCACTGGATTTCCCCAGTATAACTTACTTACTGGAATTAATAGTGGGCACTTGCCCGGCACTGCAATTAAATGCTTTGGTGAGCCTTGTTTTTGGTAAGAGTCTGGCAGGTGATGTAAATGTTGGAGCATGTCGAATCAAAAGGAATCAAACCCAATATGTCACGCCGCCCTTTTTTACCTCATGTTTCGTGTTACGGCGTAAGGCAGTTTTGGAAGCACTGCTGAAATAGCTGAGGGCTTGCTACAGGGGGAATGCACACTACTTTCCACCAGACGAGGGACTGACAGGGAACAAGACTCAGAGTTTCCACTGGGATAGAATGTTTCCCATAACTGGTACGCACTCCCCAGCCAACAGCACTAAATCCTCCAGGATGAGGAGGTGACACACAGCACAGGTGTTCATGGCTGGGATAAAAAGCTCAGTTTGGACATGCCGTTTGATAGACGGCATTCATATTCATTTAGAAAAGTGTGTAAGTAAGTCTATCAACTTCAGCAAAGTATGCAGAAACACTGGGGCAATCAGTGTATTAAAACAGAGAGCTCCAAACATTCATTTGAAATTTCTGTCATCAAAGTTCTGGATAAAATATGTCAAGTTATGTTATGCATAGTAAACAGACTAAAATGAATGCTTGAGTTATAATACAAGAAGATAGAGGCTCATTTGGTCACTGTCACACAGTTTAAATTGAATGTAGATTTATACTTTGGAAGGTTCTACATTTGCATTAGACAGGAATCTCACATACTGCATCTGCACATACAGCAATGATCAGAGTGTTCAGTATTGAAGTTGTGTAGAATTTCACTGATTTTTTCAAAATTTCACATTATTATGTGGTTTATTAAGGTCATTCAGAGTCATGAATGCAAAACCCTGCAAAAAAATCAACATCTTGTCAAGTACAAACATCTTCGTGGATACCTATATGTGATATTTTTATTACACTGTAAGAATATTCTAAGATTATTTTATTTTTGTGCACATTTTATCAAGTAAAAGTTTCTTTTTCTATTGGCAGATAATCTGACTTGTTTTAAACGTTGTTAAAATCTGCCAATAGAATTGCATGATCACAAATTTAAGAAAATATGAAATCTATGAGATTTGCTTTACAACCAGCAGTGATGTTTTGGCCACAAAAAATTCTGTACCTTACAGTTAGCTTTTGTCTTAGCTATGGTTATTCTGCATAGGCCTGCTAGATGCACTTGCTCATAAGTTAGTTAATTTATTGTAGTTTTTAGCTTATTCTAGTTGGTTAGTTAGTGTTCACTGCTTATTATTAAATTTTAGAATAATTTTACATCTGTCATCCGAAAAAAAACAAACAAACAAACAAAAAATACCAAGCAAACAAACAAACAAACAAACACACAAAAACTAGTATCCGTCAATGATAAGCGAGTAAGTCTAGCTCAGCCAAGTGAAAACTAAACTTGCACAATAGAAATTCGTGCTCATGTGAATGCTAGTAAGATTGAGATAAAGTTCAGATATTCACAGCTTTTATGAATATCTAAGCACTGGTCAGAAGTTATGACTGTCCACTGTTAAAGGAAACCTTTGCTTCAGGCGTGAAACATTTCATGCTATACTGTGCCATGTCATGCTTAACGCAAGTAATTAATCTGTCCAAATGATGCTTATATGGTAAAGAAACAGTTTGGCTAAAATCGATTTTTTCCATGGGTCATGACAAATGCTCATCTTTACACTTATTATATTATTATATATTAGTATTATATATTAGGCTCCCATAAAACACACAGGCACTATTTGAACTGGATCATTTGTAACCAGGGGAGGTTGTGTAATGTAATTTGTTGGTATTTAACTGGCTGGTATGGGATAAAGCATCTGTGTTACTTTCCTAACATTCCACAAACAGCATGTAATGTTCACGTCTCTGTTATGTGACAAGTGCCACAGTAACAACACGCCTCATTACCAGGTTTTGTTATTCTGTTAGCATGAGCTGGATTGGAACAGGACTTTTCTTACTTAGGGAGCCCCAGGTTCAGACAATTACACTTCAGTCTACTCTCAGACTGTAAGGACTATTTACATATTATGGTCGTCACTACTTTACAAACTTCAGCCACTTCAGCAGCTTTATGGCTTCCTATGTGACGTGTAAGTCCTTAGTGATTTCATGATTGTCCATTGGTCAGTTGCAGACAAAATGTAGATAGACAAACAAATCCACCAATTACACATGGTGAAAGGCAGATGATGTGTACCTTAACCCCGCTTCATAGCCTCGTAACTCTGGATGTGAGTCACATACGATGTCATGATGGAAAGGGCGACTCTACAGATTTAGGAAATGTTTGGAAATATATATAAACAAACATCGAATTTGATGCATGGACAAGTTTGTGGACCCCAGAGGGTCCTCCGGCAAAACTTATCCAGGTTCAACAGGACCAATAGTAACCTTTTTTTTGTCTGGAGTTCAGTCAAATAACATACATAAAATACCAAAAAAGTTGTCAAAATTTTCAGAGCAGTAAAGAGCAGCCCAAACCTGATAATACTGACCGCTGGCAGCAGCATTAAATGAGACAAGAGCTAAACAGGCTTATAGTCTAATCCATTAGCCAAAGAGAAAATCTGACTAAGTGCTGCCAAAATGAGAAAAAATGACATCAGAACTTGTATTTCAGACGAGATTGCTCTTATTCAAGAGGTGAAGTTTTTATACTCAACAAGCAGACTTGAATAAATGTCCATTACCTGCACCTCATAAATGTTAATAAGTGACTGCTATCAGTCTTATAATAGTACTGATTTAAAACTCTGCTTTGCTTTCATCTGCAGATCCCAGTAAATCACTTCAATCCAAACCAGTCCTGCTACCGATGGAACAGATAGGAAATAAAGACAGTAGGTTGGACTCACTGGTGACAGCTGTGCCACTCCCAGGTATGACGGGGTCGATTGGGCATGAAATCAGCTGTCCCCTGGTTCTTAACTCTCTGAGGAAACCGCAGCAGCACTCTAACATCATAGTCTGTGGTGTCAGAGCTGTAGGCTGTACTGTGAAAAGAGAAACATTGTGTAGGTTATGAAGTGCAAAAAGAGAATAAGCAGTAAGTAGCCATACTTCTCATTTAAATAAATTACATGTAAACCAATACACTTAAATTCTTCACTCACAAACGTACATAGCTTACAGGTTTGTGTCAGGGGCTCAAAAGGGAAAATGGGTAATCTGAATGTAAACTACATTTAATTTAAATCACAGCATATAGCAGACACTGTTACCCAAAATGACAGTTTAATTTCGTTTCAGAGGGAAGAGTTGGAAGACTTTGCCAAAGCAGCTTAAATTGTTGGCATTTCTGAACTCCTGCCTGCAGCATTTGGGTTGTAGTGTTAACCACAACACTATCCAACTAGATATTGAATATAAGTTATACTTGTCTTTTAGAAGCCCATGTTGCCTCGAAAAACTGTGTTTAAGATCTGTTTTGAGGTAATGGAAAATAGTTTAGCATGCTATTAGCACTGTCACTATGTGTTATCAACTATAAATTAATTATTATTGCCACCGTTGGTTGTTTAGATATTGACACTAGTGTGCTGCAGTTGTAGGCACAAGGCTGAAGGCAGAGTAGATCAACACACCAGTGTCTCACAGTATAGCATGACCTTGAATGTATTATTGCAGTTATATCAGCAATTATGCCAATTATTGATTTTAATTTTTAGATTTTAGGCACAATTTTGACACAAATTCAGCAAGGCAAAAAAAACGACATACTTATCAGCCAATAGCTTAAGAGCTCTAGCTACACACTTTGCATGTGTGTAACACATTTAAAAGCAATATTAGAAGCTCAGAGCAGATTAAAACATGGCACTACTGTCTGAAACTTCTAGCAGGCTGGCATTATTAGAGAATTAGAGAAATGTTCAACTTTTCACCTTTCTCCACTTCATAAGTTAGTCTCTTGCCATCTGTTTTTGGCTAATTTATCCATGTTTTGGTAGAGAGTGGCGGGAAACTAAAACTGAGCTCTTCCACTCCTGTACAGTGAATACAGCTTTGTTGATTACAATAGGAGTTTTGATTAGATCGTTGCTGCACGGGTCATTTTCATTTTGCTTTTTGTCAGGCTTGTTAGTAGTAAAGTCATTGCTACAGGCAAATAAGGTGTAGTGATACCTAAAGAGATGTTTTCGGAGTGCCATTTTTGGGAGAAACTGGCCTCTCTGCCAATCGCATTGCAAGGTTGGAACTAACTGTGGTTTAATGTGCAAATATAACCACAGTGATGTGTGAACTCCCACTAGCTATTCCTGGGGCAAAGCTGAGTTAACTGTCCCTCACAAAAATGGATCTTAAACAATTGAAGAGGCCATAAACATTAACACCAACCAAGGGGGCACTTGTGCAGTCTGAAGGCAATTGGGCAGAGGCTCAAAAGCCCCCTGGCATCTGTCTGTACACATTCCTGGTTAGCTTCGTGGTAGTTACCAAATGATTTATGATGGTTACTGAATAATTTTTATGATTTAATCTTAAGATTCATAACTGAGCAATAAACCCAGGGTTTAAACATTATTTAGACTCAAGTATTTACCTGGCGAGACATTTTTCCTCAGCCGCACAACGTAGGGAGTACATGTGGGATCGCTGGATGTATGTGGAGGCCTGGACATAGTTAGGGTCAGGAACCAGGTCGGGTAGGCCTAATGACAAGAGACAACTCAGCACAGACATTGGATGGCAACACAAACATTCATTATCCTAATACTTTGAAACCTGATGAATATGCTATCCTGTTAAATATTTAACTGTTGCCTTGTACCACAGCATCTTTAGTTGGTCCTCTTCTTGTGTGAACATAAATCTTAGAAGACTCAGATAGCAAAATTTGAATTGCAAGTACCCACCGAAAGACAATAGTGAAGCTTCATAAATGCGCTTTTATATCAATATTTTACCGAGTCTGGTTTCAAGGTCAAGAAAAAAGCAGTTCAAATAGATAGAACGACAGTGTGTGATAGGGAAGAAAGCAGAGGGGGAGTCGTGCATAACAACAATGATCTCACATCCCCGCTGCTTCCAAACTGGGCTTGAAACCAAGTCTGTTAGAAAAACAGAAAAATAAATATAAGGACAGAAAAAAAGCCCTGGTAGCTGTCACAGCTAATGTCTGTAACACTTAACACTTCCAGTGAAAAGTGCGTCATAAAGGAACAGCTTATTAGATCATCGTATACTAAAAATATAAGTATAAAATCAACATACTGTAAAAGCACTTTGTAATGACTTTCTACCAGTTTAAAAACTATGGACTTATTAACAGAGCATTCCAGCCTAAAATTAGCATGTCATATGTTATTAATCATGCTATGTTATGTTCTGTAGTGCAGCACCATATCCCTCAGACTCATTGGTTAAACAGATATGTATCCTTTTTGTGTTTTTGTCCATCAGTGTTTCCTCACTACGATATCCAGCATGCATTACACAAATACCTCATACATCCACTGGGAACCCCGCAGTGGCAATAACGAATTCCTGACTGCTAACGTAGTCACTGATATGTCTTTAGTTATGCTGCACCACAGCGTGTGAAATATCCCCTGGTATCTGGGGGGTCCCAGGTTGACTGGCTACTCCAGCATTGGTAATTTGCTACAGCTTCACCTAGAGGCAAACCGGTGCTGCATTACTAGTTAATTGACATTATCAAAGACAGAATCTCACCGTTTCGTGGGTGAAGCAGGCTAAACAATGAATTTCTTTCCCTGAATTTGTATTTTACCCTAATAGACAGCATAATAAGTTTATTTTGAGGAAACCTCCAGAATATTGATTTTGAGACATTCAGGGGGTCCAAGCAATTAATTAGGGGGTCTCAGACCCCCCAGTACCCTTTGTATAACACATCTTGCTGCACCGTCTGATTGAAATTTCTTTCTTGTGTCATCGAATTGTTTTAAAAACATTCGTCAAAAAATGGAACTAGGAAAAAATGTTTGTCAGTAATTTAAATGATTTATTGTGGGTTGTTGAATATTGATTCTTCTGTTTCACGTTTGTAATGCGTTATTTATTTGTAAGGGGAACAACTTGTTTTGTGTTGCTGCCTATCTTGGCCAGGACACTCCTGTAATCTCCAGCAGGATTTTGTAAATAAAGGCAAAAATAATAATAATGATGGTGATGTAAAGGCTAATAAATACAGATTGTAACTATTTAAACAGCCCTTCCCCAAGTATCCACCCCAAAGTCCTTGTAGATTTTCAGAAGTACCTTCCAATTTCAAGATACATCGTCAGAAAGGGAGTTTCCTAGTTTTAAATGGTCAAATAAATCTCATTTTAAAGTCTACTGTAGCAACACTGTTGGAGGTGAGTAGGCATATTTACAACAAATGTAGCAAATGCTTCAGCTTTTAATATTTTAGCCAGAGTGACCCTTTGAGTCTTAAGTGGTGTAACTTTAGAACACAGATAAGCTGTCTTTGTCCAAAGCCTGCCCAACAAGGGTGAATACAATCTATATACTTTAACAGCTGATCATCTTATGTGTCTTGAAAACATCTGTGGACTAATCTATAGTATATTGCCCATACTGTCCTTTAGGGCATGAGGAGTGTTCTCTATACACTGAAAGAGCTTCGGCTCTTTCAGCTCTATGTACACATCCAATTTGTCATCCCTCTCTGAAGCAGACTTCTAGGCCTCAAGAAGCTTCCTGGGTCAAGCCTAGTAAATAGTGTAATGACAGTGTGAAAAGCAGTGGCTTTCCAATGGGAGTCTTTTCCCCTACTTCATTCTCTCTCAAAAGGAAAAAGAGAGAGAGAGAGAGAGAGAGAGAGAGAGAGAGAGAGAGAGAGTGTCTTATCATTGTTATTGGAAGAAAACCTTTTATCTCCAAAACAGTAACTTTATAGGAGATAGAAAAAACCTACTTTACTTGTAATGTAAGTCAGTGGAACCAGACATTTTCCCAAGTAATTTTGGGCCATTTATTTTGGTCCATTTATCATGAAATTCACACACAATGTAAAGGGCAACAGGCATTTTCAAATTATGTCAAAAACTGAAAAATGACAAAAATGGACATACAAGGTTTTCTTCCAACAGCAGCGACATGCTATATGCACACAATAAATGTGCTTCAATAACCTTTTATTTGTGTATGTATCTAATAGGTATTGTGGTGAGTATATGTTTTTAAGACACATAAAACATCCAGGTGTATGTTGAAGTGTGCAACTGTATTCATTCCTACATTTGACCCCCACTTGGATTATATTACTTTTCCTTGCATTACATAACCGTTTGCTTTAGATTCCAATTCAGAACCTACCTCTTAATTATATCTTGGTACTCATTTGGTCATTTAACATTCATAAATAACAAAAATATACACACAACCCAATAATAAAACCACTGCAGCATGTAAGACACAGGTTTGTTCCTCTGGCAGGCTTTTGGCAAAGTTAAATGGACTTGTCTGCTTCTTAGTGTTAATTATGTTACTCATGTGGTACAAACACTCAAAACTAAAACACACACACACACACATCTTCTAAGCCGCTTCTCCCTCAGGGTCACGGGTCAACTAAAACAGAGGTTTAAAAGTTCACATTCAGTTTAACAATTTTCTTCACAAGAACAAATGGTGTTATTTAATGGGATGTGACTACTTGAGTTTTACAGCTAGTATTTTCTGTGTAGCTTCACAAGCCCACAGTGGAAGTGATTACTCAGATAAACAACTTAACACAAACATGGAGAGTAGTTAAAGTTGGTAGGTGTGGAATCTGTCATGGTGTTAACAGATGAGGGCTCATGACAATCCTTCAGCTACTGAACTAAACATGAGGTGTTTGTCCTTTTCTGCTGATGCACAGTGCTGGGCAAACTCTTCATTTATTTAATTTCCAGTCACAGAAGCTTCAACAAGTACATCTAATTTGTGAGCCTTGCTTTCAGTTTTTCAATGGACAGAAACACCTAAACATTTTTTTCACATCTGAAGCAAAAATGGAGCTTTATTTTCTCTTGAAAAGAAGACTTTAAGTACTATTATCTGACGGTTTTGGTGGTCTATCGGGTCTTGCACGGTTATTAGGAGTCTGATTTTTAATCATTTTTTGAACTCTAGTTTTTTGAACTCCTGTTTTTTCCCCCACTAATATCCTTTTAACTTTCCCCTTGCTTATTTCTGAAAATCATACAAACTATCTTCTCAGAAATATCTCAGACTAATGAATGACATACTTATTGGCCATTTTGACTGGAAATTAACCCTTTACATGGCCGGGTTCCACCGGCAGACCCAATTTTTTTTTAACCTAGGAAAGCTCAACTAGTTTGCTTTGAAGTCCCTGTAGTTACTAAATAATAAGCCTTAATATGTAATAAGTCTGGGATTTTAGGGGGTCAAATACATAAGAGGTGGTCTTTTACGCAGTACTGAATATTGCTTGACTTTTGAGAAGCAAAAAAGAAGCTTCCATATGTTTGCAATCACATCACCTCTTCATGTCCAGTATAACTCTATGTACATGTTCCCCCTCCTTGCGTAACTTCCCATAAACAGGGTGTCCACCTCTTTCCATCAGCCTTATGACTGTTTATTTAAAAACTAAGTAGATTGCATGGAAAACAAAAGGAAAAGTGCAACGTGAGTTTCGTATTACGAAATAAGCCTCACACTTTGGCCTCAGCTATGAATGTGTATGAGTCTCATGGCCTCCCTGAGTCACCCCTTCTCTAATCAACACACCACACACACTTTGCACTTTTGGAACCAGATAAATATTTTCTATTTCCTGAGGCAATGGACCCCATGTGTGGCAGGGACTTTCCATTGCGATACATGTGTTAGAGTAACACCCACCCCCCCACAATGTACACGCCAACCCCCACCCCTAACTGCCAAAATCCCTGAGCACTTCACTCCACCCTTCGTTGCACATACTGGGATCATTCACCCTGTAAACTAGCCCCCCTCTTACCCACTACCCACCCTTTGACTTGATGAAGTCATTGCAATAACTGCTACCAAGCCCTCAAACAATGAGAGCATTTGATGATGAACGCCTGTCCATATGCTCCACATACCCTCAACACCTGGTTCCAATAACCTGGTCAATAGCAAAGAGATGAACTCGCTGTTCCTTTGTTTGTAAATTGAAATACAGTGCAAGGGGGGATGGGGAATGTATGATGTCAGAGCAGAATCTTAATGTTCAGAGGGTTTCAGAGAAACAAATAGGGAAATCTAGTAGAAAATAATGTCCATTCCCAGCTGCACAAGCAAATAACTTTTGAATCAGGCAGTGCGGTTTGAGTCCCCTGGGCTTTAAGTTTGTCCGACCCGGAGGGGTCATGCTTGCCAGGAAACACATAGAGATGGCAGGAGAAGTACATTTTTTAGATCTTGCTCTTTTTTTCTCACTTCCTTTCCCTCAAAGAGAAAGAGAGAGAGAGAGGGAGAGAGAGTTTGAAGCTAGCTTAACACGTGCATCCATTTCACATTACTGCCAGCTGTGCAACTGAATTACAAATCAGTTCCTCTGTGGTGTGCTAAACACTGTGTCACACTATAGCTCATGCACCTCTGTAAACTTTCTGCAGCTATACAGAATAGATATTTGTCATCATGCTCGGAAAAATATAGGCATAATCTAGCTATGCGGTACAGTAACGACAGCTGGGAATTAGGGAGGCAACAAAAAAGTATGACTGCAAATACTCTGCTATTTTGATTTGTACATAAAACTGAAAATTACCGTGGGGCAAGTTCAATACTACAAGCTAAGGAAATATATTATGTGATGATTTGTGAGGACTGTACCTCTTTGTTGAGGCCGGTAGACACTTCCTACGCTGACACTGGGGTTCTCTGCAACATTGGAGGTGAGAGGGTTCCGTGCAGGTTGCTGCACAAACGGAACAAGTGGCTGGGGCCTTCCGAAGGGTGGAAACTGTTCATACTGGGGACTTTGCAGAGCGGGCTGGCTTGCTGTCCCAACACCAGCTGTAGCTCCATTGGAAACTGATCCTGCTGCATTAGCTGTATCAGGAAAGCCTGCTGTGTCATCATTGTACAAGCTGTGGGTGTACCGGCGGTCCAGACCATCTGAGAATGAAGGTTGTGCAGGTTGGGCAGGAACACCAGGATGTGGTTGACCATATGGTGGATAGAAGCGGTAACCATCATCAGTAAGGTCTGTCCTTGGAGGCACAGGAGCCAGACCTCCTCCGGTGAATCCACCACCCCCGTAGCTTCCAACAGAATAACCACCACCAGCATAGCCTCCTCCTGCAAATCCTCCACCCGTGCCTGTGGAATATCCTGTCCCACGGAATGGCGGTTCCATTGGATCATATGGAACAGGGTAGGATGACTGTTGTTGGAAAGGGTATTGTGGGTAAGGTGGAACGTTGAAAGACGATGAGGAAGATGAAGATGAAGAAGATGAGGAAGAACCAGAGGAAGTTCTGTAACGAGTGCTGGAGGACGACTGAAACCGACTCGATTCACCTGTCCCAGCTGTACCCTGACGCCAATTATCAGGCACCTGCCCAAATCCAAAGGGGTGTCTGGCTTGTCCCCTGACCGTTTCTGAACCACCTCTGGAAGGTGCCTGTCTACGCACATTTCCTCCCTGTGGTCTGGCTCTGCGATTGGGGCTATCGGCTAAAAGAACACGGTGGCCTCTGTCCTGTTCCTGTCCCCGAGCAGGGACATATTCAGCCCCGCTGTTGAGCAGGCTAAATACTCGACCATTGTTCTCCCATTGGATCATTTGCCTCCAGGGATTTGAGGAAGATTCTTGCCCCTGAGCTGGAGCCTGAGCCTGGGGCAAAGCTTGCGACCATACCCCAACAGCACCCAGCAACATCCACACCCACCATGACATGAGAAGGACCAGCAGCATCTTCACAAGACTGACATGGGAAGCGCAACTTCAACAAACCCTTTTAACCAGTTCAAAAATAACACAAAATGAAACAAACCCTTTGATCCAGATTGTATAAGAAGGCCATGCAGAGAGAGAGTTCAATGTCCATAACCAGCTCTTAAACTTTAAAAGTAGTACTAAAGCTTATTCCTTTGAGTTGTCTGTGGTGCAGGCATACCCGTGAAGACGACAGGCTACTTCTGAGGCCCCAAAGCAAGCAGCGGTGTGAAAATCCTCCCTTTTCCTGTCTGTCTGGATGTGGAATTGTTGTCAGTGGACTGAGCATTGCTCTCAAAGTCTCTCTGGAGAGGACTGCCTGTTGCTCCTAACTCTAGCTCTCTATTTGCCTCTCTGATTGCTTACAATGGTCTGTGAAAAAAAAGTCTCTCCCAAACTATCCCCCCTCTTCTGCTCTCACTCTCTCTTTTTTCTTTAAGTGCAGATCCCACATGGCCCTAGTGCTAGAACTGTTTCTATGTAACTGTAGCAAAGCCAGATCTCTGCACCAGCTTCCAGAGTCAACACCACCATCTGTGGAGACACTTAGATTGCTAGTGTGCCTCATGATCTTGTGAGCACAGAGTCCTTTGATCAAGCGAGACAGGCGGAGATGTCTTGTTGTATGGCTTGGGTTTATCAGCTCATGTCTCATTTGTCTTCATCATTGTAAGAGTTTACAAATTAGAGGTAATTAATTTAGGACAGGAACAAAAAACTAGACATTTCAAATGTAATAGGGTTAAATAAACTGATAGAAAAGAAAGTAATGATCTAATGATAATTGGGCACAAGTACTCCCTAATAAGGGCTAAAACAGGACAGACAGAGGCCCTTTGTTTTCAGGTGAATTACCTACAAGTGGTCCCCTCAATTAGGTACCAAGTCTGAGGAAGAAAACTCTCACATACAAAAAGTGCATTAACTGTGCTGTGGAGCCCCCTTAGGTCCCCTTTGACTGTTTCTATTTTGTGATGAAGTGGGCTTTATCAAAGCTATAGTGTTCTGTAGACCCATTTGAGCATTCCCCCTGTGACTACTTCAGTATGCACATCAGACAACAGACATAGTTTGTTTGCAGCGCTAACTATGTTTACCTCCTTTTGGCTCATTCCTTGAGATCATTGCCTTCTTGGGTGTGGCCTGGAAACTACCAGAGTCATTAAAGGGATACAGCTTCTTAACTATAAGTAAATATCAACAGAACAAACAATAAACTATGAATTTAAGAAATTTGTTATCACAGATTTAGTTGTGCAAGAATAATCATGCCATTTATCAGTTCTGGATATTTCTATTAAAGTTAAAAAATTCTTTATTCTAAGTTTCTATTAATGAGATCTGATTGGCTGCAGACCTGAATGACTAACTCTGTTTTTCATATCTGCAGTTCATCATCATCTACTATTATATATGATGACTATAATACTAAAAAAAGATTTGCTGAAGTAAAAACACAGATAATGTTTTACTGAAGTTATATTTTAACAAGAGTATATTCACTTTTACTCAAGTACAGAATAATATAAACCTCTCTCTCTCTCTCTCTCTCTCTCAAATTTGATTTGAAAATTATTATATGATTATATGAAAATGATCACTTCAGAAACCTTCCATGAAACTGATACATTGTGTTCTTAACCAGGCCTCTGCCTTATAAGATCCATTATGATGCTTCATAACAGTGTTGTGAATAGTAAATGTTTGTCACATTAGTTTAAGGCTTCATATATCTAGTCAATGTCATTTACTTCATAAACATCTTATATCGCATATACTGGCATGAGTTGTTTATAATCAAGTATTGCTTTACAAATACATTATTCAATGAATAAGTTATGAAGTTTATGGTTATGGTAGTTTTCCATTAAAGTATTACTAAGAGGTCTGTTTTGACTTAAATATTTTTGCTGAACTATTGTTTAAGACATTACAGTGACACCAAGGCTGCTCAATGGGGAGGCAGGAGCGAGGTATAAATCAAACAAGCAGTTCCTGAGAAAACCATGTAGGATTGGAGCCACAAAGAGCTACCTCAGGGAGAGTCATTGGGCACTTGTTAGGTGTTTCACTTTGGACTGCTGGACTGTACAGCTCATTATCAGGATTTTATTTCAGGCTAGGACTCAGGGATTTGGTTATGACATTATATGCATGTACAATAAACTGATTTATGCTGAATGATTATCCTACTCATCCATATTTGTCTTTTTTATTAAAAATAAACACTTTAGGAGCCGTTACAAAGATCGTGTCCTTTATAAACACTCTCCAAATGAAGGAAAAGAGAAGATCTGGTTACAGCAAGGCTTCAGAGTGAGTCGTGCGCAAATACTGAAGGCATTACATTTCCCGGTTTTGTTATCAAAGTCAGCAGCCTGCTAGGTGTTTGAGTTGGCTCTATACTGAATCGTTAATGTTCAGAGTGTACCAGCGAGCAAGGCATGACAGCATTCCTCCTGAGATTATGTGTTTAAACTAACCAGCTGTGAACAACCCTTTTCAGGCAGCTCATTTGAAACTGGACCCTCTAAAACATGTGGACGGATAAAAGTGGCTGGTTTTCGCAGCACATTCTTGGCAGAAACAGGGCAACGTGCTTCAAAGCAGAGCCTTCTATTGATGTTTTTGGGCTCGAGGAAAGAGAGAGAGGGTGGAGGAGCTGCCTCTGGGACTGGGCTGAGCGTGCTGAAACATCAATTCGAGCATCAATATGTATGTGATAATGTTTATTGTTGGAGCCAGTGATGTTCGAGTCTCCTGTGGCCTAAAGGTGTTCCGAGTGAAAGCCTACACCCGTTCTAGTGTTACGTCCATCACGTCTATGGGGAAGAGCGGTCAAAGTGATACTTGCTTTAGCTTTTTAGCTTTTTGATTTTTTCATAGCGACTCTTTCGGCAAAGTCACCCCTTGAAGGCTTTCGCTGGATGCAAGCATGCAGGGGATGAGGCAGAGAAAGTGGGGGAGCAATGACACTACGCTTGGGAATTGTAAAACAGCTCTTTGACATTCCATCAAAGCATCCTGAAACAAACGTTAAAAGGGGATGAAAAACAAAACAGAGTGAAAGCAAGAAAGCAAGAGAGTCTAGCACAACTGTCCCGTGGTGTCCTGATGTCCCGACATCCTGTAGTCTGCTGCGTGCCCTTTGCAGAAATATCCATCAGCGATTCATTGTAAAATATTTCCGAGGTCAGAAAAACAAGTATTGGGTCAGCGGCGCACAGCAAGGACAAGCGCAGAAAGAGAGAAACATTTTTCACAACCCAAAAGAGATGGGTTTTTAACCTTCACAGCATGATTTCCACATTCCTGTATCCCAAAGTTCCTGTCCCAATAGCATGTTTGATTTAGAGCTCACGAGCTGGATTCTTCCTCACTGGCTGCAGCGATCTGCCAATGTGCAGCTCATTATTTCTCAAGTAGGCCTGGCATGCAGTTAAAATGTCAGCTGCCTTTCACTCACCCGGGAAACTAACAACAGGTCGGATGCAATTACCCTCACGTTTGCCTTTGTTAGTTAGCTGGAGGCTGCTGAAGTGCTCTTTTACAGCGCAGAGGCTGAACAGGCCTGTGTTTGCTCTTAAAATGGCAATGCTAACTCATTTGCAATGTTGAACAGGTAAAAAGCCAGGCATGGACATGAGAGCACACATAAATGAGGCAGTACCCCAAGGCATAAAAGACTTCGTGTCAGGGACCACACATGCCCTGCAGCTGCCCTGCGAACATGAGAGACATGTGAAGAAGTTAGCCTCGCTGCAGAGTAGACCCAGGGGAGGTTTATCAGCTCTGACCTTTTCCGTCATTCGCATGTTTTCCAGCTCTCTGACAATAGTCTTGAAGCCTGGGGCAGCTCAAGCTCCACCTTAACCCTGGCCTCACGCGTTTTAACCCAAGGGCACCAATTCGATATAAAACAGAAGCACATATTGAGATGTAGAACATTTTTGCTGGCTCCTTAATGACATTAGATAGAGCATCTGAATGCTAATGGCTTTATTACTATTCTAGTATGTGACTAGCATGCTAATTTTCTAAATTACGGTATTACGGATGGCCCAGTTTAAATGAATATGTTCTAAGAGAAAAGGTGATTGACTTCCCCCTAACATTTATTTATTTATTTATTTACTTACTTACTTACTTAGAATTAACAGAAATACCTAATTCAGTGTGGTAGTTCAGCTGCATATGCACATTGATGTATCACAATCTTATTCATTGACACCCTTTTTTACCCTTTTTGTCTAGACTTTTCTGGAATTCTACTCATTTCATTCAGGTGTGAAATTTGGCGGCCCTTCACGAAATTCTAACTTTCAAACGAGCCTCCTTAGGCCATGCAAAGGTCAGGGGATTCGGTCTGGTTGCCTCTGGTAGTCGTTCACATTCTAGCTACAACTTAGATAAATGCTGTGACGTAGGACAGAAAAGCATGCAATATAAGAAAAGGTAAAATTGACAGAAAAGATGCCAACGGCCAGGCAATGTATGTTTATAAATGTTTTATTCATTCATTTATTAATTCATTTACACTCACTTTTATTAGTATTACGTACAGCTACCTGGTATCTACACTCATTGTTCATTTGATCAGGTCCACTTCCCTACTTTCCCACTATAAGTACAATTTGAAGCACTACAATAATAGACAGTGATCCATTTGTACACCCGCATATTTTGTTAACCCCCTCTTTACCCCATTCAACAATGGTCAGGACCACCACTGAGCAGAGATCAGCACAGAGTGACAGCGACAATGCGGCATGCGCATGACTTGAGCCCCTGCCCTTTTGCCTTCAGCCACTAGAAGTGCCCTCTTTGTTAGTGTTTATTATAAGTGTGCTTTATATGGTCATTATATTGTCATTATTCAGATTCATTCTCACCCTGGAAACAGAACCTCTCTGGTGCAGGACCATGCGCTTGGGGAAATTTCCCCTCAGCAGCTCTGATCTCTCGTGAGTCAGTTAAATCAATCAAACAATGGTTGCAGTAAGGGTTGTTATTATATTATGTGATTTGCTAAATATTTTCTTGTTTTTGTAAAAAACACTTTCTAATGCAAAAAATTGGGGCCATTTGAATTATTTTGAATAAGTGTTGTAGATATCTAATCTTTAATTAAAATTTGTTAATAATATTTCATTAATTTGATACTCATTACTCAAAAATGACACAACTTGAACTATTACACACATTTAGTTGCACAAAAACAATTCTTATTATCAATTAATCTTATTTTAAATAATTGAGTAGGTATTTACTATCGTGCTTATTTATGATGCATGAATTGACTTCCTTAATGAACAGTTAAACATTTTTAAGTGGTTAATATACTTTCTTAAACATTAACAATCATGCCCCACAACAAAGTTGTGGCTTTATAATGTATATATATATATATATATATATATATATATATATATATATATATATATATATATATATATATTATGGCACCTTACAAT